ATATATATATATATATATATGTATAAAACATTGTCTGTAATTTCATATTTCTAAATTTCACAGAATTAGATTCTTCTGGGATTTCTTTTTATTTTACAAATCTGCTTCTGAACTTATGTAAAAGGATGTCATCCTTTTGTGAGTCAAATAATATTGTGAGCTAACACTTATTGAGTACTAAGCCTGTGTCAGACTTGTCATAAGTGCATTTTGTGTTTTTACCAACTTATCCTTACAACAATCCTAAGGGGTAGGTGGTATTATTAATTCTATTTTATGATGCTCAGAGTGGTTAAGTGTCTTCTTCAAGAGCACACAGCTAGTAAGTAGCAACGGTGGGATTTAAACCCAAGCAGCCTGGCTCTAAAGCTGCTGCTTTCAGCCACTGTAGACTACTGCCCCTTTACATGGAAAGAACTTTGCAGAGTATTTTTAATGCCAAATGCAAAGCAACCACTGTACCTGGAAATTTTTACGTCATTCACTCAATGTGGGAGAGCATTCGTAAAGCACTGTTGCCATGATTCGCCTCACAGGTAGGTTTCAAAGGCACATTATTTGCATGCAGAATTACTGCCCTGCCATACATAGCAAAGACTGTTTTTACATTGGCATGGGTCGAACAGAAATCAATCCAAGTGCTTCCAGCGCTACAGAATCTAAGCCACAAAGCAGGATTAAAAGAGGCTGAATTTTCTGGATTAACTTTTGGATAAGATAAAACATTTGAAAGGGATTCAGGGAAACACATTTTTTTTTTAAACATCAGAAAAGATATGACTTAACTGATGATGTTGAAACAGAATGAAAAGAAATTTAAATAAAGAACTTAAACATTTGTTGACAGTAATAACATATATAATTATAAGCCTAAATAATATGTTTCTTTTGAGCAGAAAGAAATTAATAGGAGATCCATTATAATCTGTTGAGTTTGCATTAGTTGAATTATTTTTAGAGGAGGAAATTGGAGGATATGTTGAAATGAGATAAAGAGAAAAATAAAAACATAAGCAGCTTAACCCAGTGAATGTTTTCTTCCTTCCAAATGGCACATCCTAAAGTTCTATTCACTAAGAGTTTGCGTTAATATGAGAAGAGCAATCATGATGCCATAAAGGGAGACATTTTAAGGCATTAATCTTGCATTTAGCCTCTGAAATATGTTCTGTATAATACATGCCAGTCAGAAATATTACTTTTTAAAAAACCATAGCTGCAGAAGCAGTGCTCCACACATATTATGTTGTGTTTGGAATTATGCTGTGTGCATTTTGGAGCATTTTACTACCCCTAGGAGAACAATTTGTATGTTTTGTCTATTACTGTTAACTCTGCAACACATAGGGCTCTTTTTCTTCTTCAAGAGAAATGAGTTCAAAGGAAAATATTCATAGAAGAGTATTCATAACCTTGGCATCTAAAAAAAAAATCACGAGTCTGTTATTGTAGCTTGAGGGTTGCGGCTGGAAGAGAAAAGACAGATCCTTGAAAATGGAGAAATGTTTTAGATGGTGAAGCAGTTGTCATAAGAACAAAGCAGCCCATGTTTCCAGCTCCAACTCCAAATCCTTAAACTGTTTATTTCATGGACCTTCTTACTTCCATCAAAGGGGTACATTCATTATGATGCTGCAGCAAAATCACATGAACACTGAACACTCGCTCAATCAACTTGGCCCAGCTGGAGGTGATTACTTCTTATAAAGGAGGGACAGACGAAACACAAGACACTTCCATTTCTCTAATGTACAGACAGCCCCACTTGAAGCTTGGTCATGTTATCTTCTGCTTAAAAGGAAATCTCAGTTTCTTCGTAAGCCCTAAATCTGAGGAATGATGGTGTGGGGATAAAGGACATAAACAGAAGATGAGGGAGACTATTTATGGCACGCAGAGTAATGCAAAACAAAGCTAACATTGGAAATTTGGGGAAATTACTTAAACTTGCTTTTCATGAAGGCATAGGGCTGTGCTTTCATAGCCAGCCTCCCCACCAATTTCTGGCTTCAAAGATGAATGTATAAAAGAGTGAGGTTTCGCTCTGAGTTTCAGGGCCACATTCTATGCAGCCTAAAGTTCTAAAAGTAGTTTTGAAGTGGTTTAACTGCCTCCCCTTACTTCTCACTTCTCTTAGTTCTCTGGTGTATCTCTCTCGGCCTTCAAATAACTGAACTACTGCTTTGTTGCAAGGGGCAGATAACATTGTATGCAGCCACTGCTGTGTTTGGTGGAAGGGCTGAGGTGGAAAGGAGAGGTTGTCAGCTAGTTGAACCAGTAGGGTGGTATAGGACACCCTTCAAATTCTCCTAAACATGAAAATTGGCCCCAGGATCCTGGCACTACATCCAACAGCAATAATTTATGGCAGTTTTGAAGAGAGCTGAGATGAAAGGACTGTCTGTGTCGTGGCTGGAACCCTCTGCCTGACTTTGGTTGGCATGCTCACGCAATGTGAAGTCATCTTATTGTGCTCATATTTCAAAGGCAACAACACATGGAATGTAGCCCACTCTCCAACATCTCCAAATTTGCCAGTGTAGATAGTTTGGACCATTTGTTTGAGTATTAAGAGCACACAATTGCCAAGAAAAGAGAGAGAGAGAGAGAG